GTTACAGTATTTTCAAAATCTTTTCAGGAGAAAATACTCTAGATATCTTGAAATATTTCGACTTGTTGCAAAAAGTAATCAAGTTTGTTTTTTGGATAATTTCAATTAGTATTTCGTTGTTGAAATAGTCTCAATAGATAAAATCTTCACAAAATTGGAGAAAGATCTAACGTAAATGTTCAAAAAACTAAAGAAAAAATAATCTACCTTGAATAAGAGAATAATATAGTCTAAATCTCTACAAATCGGTGCAAGATATAGTTTTAATTGCCTCAAACTTAAAGAAAGCTCACCAGAAATGTTCTCCAAAATGAGAGAAAGTTACCATAAAAATATTTAAAAATGCTAGAAGATACTCCTCCTAGATCGTACCATCTTTGTTTATTTTTATTTTTCACATACTCGACTTAATTTATATAAAGTTTCTTGACTAATTTCTCCTTGTTCTTTAAAATATTCATGAGCTGGAAATGTTCGATTAAGATCATTAATAATAATTCTTTCACTTGCTAATTCTTTTATTAATAGTAAACGATACGTATTAATTATTTCATTTTCATCTTTAACACTTCCAGCTAATAATTGCCAAACTTCACCACGTAATGTTTCTGGAATACCTTGCCGTACAAGCGTTTGTAACCCTTTCCGGCCGGATGTTGCCATTTGGCAACATTCAGTCAATATTTCTAGGATGGCTTGCTTATAGTAAAGATATAAAACTTTTTAACTATTTGATAATTACTGCAGTACATTTCAGCATACACTCACGGTTTCCAATACAAAAAGGAACTTTTCGTTGAGAACATAGCCGAATTTATCTACAATATCCCATAGAAGCCATTCAGCCGTAAAATACATTTTCATGTAGATTGACTGATTCAATACTAGAAGTCATTAGCTGTAAATATTGCTGCTTAGATCTATTGCATGTTGCATTAATAAAAAGGATTGTTCAGTAAATCCGAACAATGAAAATTATAGATGTTGCCATTTGGCAACAGCCGGCCGTAATGGGTCAAAAAATTGAAAAAATTTTTTTTCTATTTCGATCATCAAAATGCACTATTGTATGTCTTTTCGTTTGTTCAAAACGTTTTTAGAAGAAAATATGACTCAGACATGTTTAGAATGCTTTCCACAGCTTTTTTTTCAAATTTAAATCTAGTTTTTAGTGGCAAAATTCAAGTTTGCTAGCCTTCAGAGTGTAATAACCGAACAAGAATAGGTGCATCGTGAGTTAAATGCAGACGTTGCTGTAGGTCTTTTATTTATCTACACGCACATTCATATTCAAACCAATTATTGTTTTCTGCGTCCTTTTTGGAGAACTGCTAGTCTCGTGCACTGGAGTTTTGTCACTAAAAACGAAATTTAAATTTTGAAAAAGCTGCATGGAGGCACTCTATCTATGTTTGAGTAATTCTTTTCATGTTTAAGTGTTTTTAATAAACGAAGAGGTACTGAATAATGCATTTTTATAATCGAAATCGAAAAAAAATTTTTCAACTAATTTGACCCGTTACGGCCGGGTGTTGCCAAATGGCAACATGTAGCCATTGGATACAAAAGAGATTTTTTTATTCTGAAAAATATATTTTTGATATCACTGTAGTGCAGCAACAAAAAATATGCAAGACAATGTTTTCTTGCTGTCTGCCTTTTGGGAGCCGGCTGGAAAGGGTTAATATTATGTTCAAGTTCCGTTGCCTCTTGATTTAGACAAACAAGTTGGATTACTTAAAATATTATAATCGACTAGTGTTGGTGTGGGTGCAGATAAACATAAGGTACTTACCCACTCCCGAATTGTTTTTTTTACGGTCTATGAGAAGATCGAATTTTTTGGTTGAAACCAATATAATATTTCAAAACGGTTCTCTTCAATATTTTTCCTATGTATATGATCTATGAACATTTTACTATCATCAGTAAAAAAAATTGGTCCATTGCGTCAAATTATGATAAAGATATTCAATTTGTTTTGTGGACAAAAATGACATTTGATCAATCTTGTATTTTCGAAAAAATAAATAGACAGAAAAAAAGATATTTTGTAAAATGTATTCTCAAATTGAATAAACAAAATGAAGTTTTGATGATATATCGATGTCTTATTTATTAGAAATATTTTTCGAAACTTTTTATTCACTTTAAATACTAGAATTAAAAGACAACAATAGAACAAAATAAATCAAAATTTTTATGAGAAACTTTTTCATAAATACAACAATCAAAACAAACGAAACAACATCTGAATTTAATCGTCTGTAATTTATTCATCACAATAACAACAAATAATAAATAACATACATCAAAATAAATATACTTCCAAAATAAGACCAAAAAAAGTGTCTTTTCACATCAAAAACAAACAGAATAATAAAAATATGAGATTAGATGCTTTCTTTAATAAGACAATCTTTATCGATATTTATTGGTTATTATCTAATTTAAACTTGTATCATTTTCAAAACCATAAAATATATAGTTCAGTTTTGCTGTCAATTTTTATGCTTCTTTGTCTTGAGAAAAAAAAAACCATCTGACAAAAACAGGAAAAAAAATAAAAGTATTCTTATTGCTTAATAATATCTTGTTCTTCTAATTGTTTCAATTCTTGTAAGACAGGAATATTTAATATCATATCTGGATCAAGTTTATTCCAATAGACACGTTCTGGTCGTGGAAATAAACGTTTTGTATAAATATATCGTTTTGGTGTTACAATAATATCGACTGGTAAATCATGTTGTTCCATAACATTATTAGGTAAATCATTAATTAATTGACTTTCATGACATGTTGTTATAACGATTGTTTTATTTGTAACACAACCCATTTGTGACATAATAGCATATTCTAAATCGGCATAACCTTTACCTTTACCAATTCGAGCACCAGTTATAGGATTAACAACAACTGATGCAACAATAACTAAATCAACATGAATTTGTTTTAATGTTGTTAAATGTATAACAGTGCCTAATTCAGCAGCACCAGGTTTTGTTGCTGCCCATTCTAATTGATTTCGACGTAAAAATTTTGGATCTAATTTATAGAATAGAACTGATTCTAAAAAACAAAACAAATAATTTTAGTGAATTTTCTTTTTTTATAATATCAATATATTTTCATTTTATTGTTCTTGAACAAAACAATATTCTCCAATGATTATCAATTTTTGATCTTAAACATTCA